TAAAATGTGTCTTTTGGAGAATATGGACATTTCGTCCAGTTCATAGATCTGTTGGTGTCTATAGGTCTGCAGTGACCCCCTACCTTTCATTCAGATGTGGGTAACTTATATATTATCTCATGAATTTTTTTTTCCTCTTCACCAGGTTGTTAGAAAGCTTATCAGTTTCATTGATTTTTCCCAAAGAACTGGCTCTTGGTTTTATTCGTTCTCTATACTATTTCTCTGTTTTCAGTTTTACTAACTTCTGTCTGTATCTATATTATTTTCTTCCTCTTTTTAATATTACACTTGATTTTGTATTTTTCCATCTTTATAAAGAAACAGCATAAATATTTTTTAGTCCTCTTGTATTTTTACCACAAGAATTTAAAGCTATAAATTTCCCTTTTCGTGTTATTTCCATTGTATCTCACAAAATTGTTATGTATGTCAGGAATTTGTTATATCGTGGTATTGAATACTTTCTAACATGTCTTGTGAGTGTTAATTACATGAATTATAGCATGAGTCGAAGGGGAACTTTAACTCAGGTGTTGCTTAGAAGTATTTTAAAGTGTGTGAATACTTAGGATTTTTCTAGAAACTTCTGTGTTGTTGCTTTCTACTTGAATTCCAGGGTCATCAAAGAACTTGTGAACACTATGTGCTGTAATTCCATCTAAAGTTCTGATTCTTATCGTGCATCTTAGTAAATGTTACTCGCATGGTTTAAAATACTGTGTATTCAGGGTGATTTGTACAGAGAATCCTCTTATTATTAATTATTGTGTGAGAATTTTGTTTCATCTGTTCAACATTATTGATTTTCTGCCTGTTTATTTCATCAATTACTGAATTGAGAAAAGAGTGTTGAAATTGATAGCTGTCATTACGGACTCCTTTCGTTGGTTCTGTTCGTTCAATAAATGCACTTGCCTTCATGGTTGGTCCATGCCTTGCTCTCTTGGTCCTTCCATCTTTATGGAATACCATTCTTTTTTCTGTTCATATTCCTTGTCCTGGGCTCAGCTTGCCTGACCTTTATATAGAGACTCCAGATTCTGTGCATGGTGTTTACATGGCATAGTTTTCTGTTTATCCATTTTGTGTATGTATTTTGAGTGTTTCTCATATGGGTATAATAGAGTCAAGCTTTTTGAAAGACTCTCATTTCACAGTCTCTGCCTTTTAGATCAGTTATGTGCAATGTACCCATTGTCCAGGTCACTCACAGTGTGATTGCTGAGGGGGTGGGCTCATCTTCAGCCCATGGCTTTACGATTAGCTCATTTGTTCTTTACCAACATCTCAACTTTTGGGATTAATTTTTGAATATTCAATTTTATTTCTATATTGGATCAACAGTTTTTACTTATTTGAATTTTTTTCTCTAAGGCTTGCGCACCGTTAACTTCACAGTCTCCCTTCAGATGATAATGTACTGACTCACATGCTGATACAGGAATGCATTTTCGCTTGGCCCTTGTTCCTTTTCTTCTTTATCTCAGATAGCTTTTGTTTAATGTATATTTCGGGGGAAAATTTTATTAGATATAGAGTTCTAAGCTGAGATTTTTTTCATTTAGTCTATGGAAAATGTGGTTCTAGTGTCTTCTACTGTGCATTTTAAAATTTTTTTGTTTGTTTGTTTGTTTTTTTGGTTTTTCAAGACAGGGTTCCTCTGTGTGGTTTTGGTGCCTGTCCTGGATCTCGCTCTGTAGACCAGGCTGGCTTCGAACTCACAGAGATCCACCTGGCTCTGTCTCCCGAGTGCTGGGATTAAAGGCGTGTGCCACCACCGCCTGGCTTTAAAAAATGTTTTAAAGGATATATTAATTATACACAATAGTGGATTTTAGTATGGTGTTTTCATATGTGTGCAAATGTTCTCCATCTCATTCACCCCACTACCATCTCTTTATGCTCCACCAACTGCCACTGTTTTCCATCCTTTTCCCTGCTAGACCCTCTTCTACTTTCATAGCCTTTTCTTTTGATGACCTAGTGAGTTCAGGAGGGTTACTTACAGATGCATGGGGGAGGGGCTGCTTACAGGAGCGCAGGAACCTTCCCAGTGACTCCACCAATCAGAAAATCTTTTCCCTGTACTGCCAACCATGCCAACCATTAACTGTGTAAATCCTCAGCCCTATGGGTCCCTTCCCTCTCCGTGAGAGGTTGTTGACAGGGCTTGTGCAGATCTTTCTCAAGCGGGTAATCACAGCTGTTGTGCCTTCCATCCATGTTGTGCCGGGAAGTCAGTGTTCCACACCATGCCCCCATTTCCTCCAGCTCTTACATTCTTTCTGCCCTTTCTTTCATGATGTTCCTTGAGCCTGGAGTGTGTGTGTGTGTGTGTGTGTGTGTGTGTGTGTGTGTGTGTGTGTGTAGTATTCCATTTATAACTGAGCATTCAACAGTCACCTTTTCTCATCACTTATACTGGTTATGAGTCTCTGTAATGACTTCTGTCCATTGCAAATGAAAGCATCTCCAATCAAAGCTGATAGCAGCACTAACCTATAGAGATAAACACAGGTATTTAGAAGGCACTTGGATGGGCACATCATGTGCATTTAGCAAAACAACAAGATAGCTTCCCTTTTAGCACTTATGATCCCCCGCCTCACTCTCCCTGCTTGAGGCTTTGACTGTGTTTATAGTAGCAGACATGACTGCCCTCCTGTGGAGTGGCCTTAAATGCCACCAGAGAGTGGTCACCTACACTCTAGCAGAGGCTGCACTCCTTGCATTGTGCCTGGCTGGTTAGTACTGCACACAAGGCCTAGGGCTGGGTAGCACTGTTGATGATAGTTTTCCCCAGCAGTCTGCATAGTACCTCCCAGCACTGTGAAGGCTAGCCAGGAGGCAGGAAACTTCCAGACCAGTGTTAGCTTGACCTCCTTATGTCCCAGTTTGCACTGTTTTTGAGAAAACATCAGCAATCTTTCTTATCTTTATTCTCCAGTAAGTAATGTCTCTTTTGTTTTTAATGGCTGCTTTTAAAAGTTTTCCATCAATTTGATTTTAATGAATTTGGATGTGCTTTTCCTTTGCTGTGTCTTGACAACAGCTTCTTGAGCTACTAGGATCTTCTTGAGCTACTAGGATCTTCTTGAGCTTCTAGGATCTTCTTGAGCTTCTAGGATCTTCTTGAGCTACTAGGATCTTCTTGAGCTTCTAGGATCTTCTTGAGCTTCTAGGATCTTCTTGAGCTACTAGGATCTTCTTGAGCCACTAGAATCTTCTTGAGCTTCTAGGATCTTCTTGAGCTACTAGGATCTTCTTGAGCCACTAGGATCTTCTTGAGATACTAGGATCTTCTTGAGCTACTAGGATCTTCTTGAGCTTCTAGGATCTTCTTGAGATACTAGGATCTTCTTGAGCTTCTAGGATCTTCTTGAGCTTCTAGGATCTTCTTGAGCTACTAGGATCTTCTTGAGCTACTAGGATCTTCTTGAGCTACTAGGATCTTCTTGAGCTTCTAGGTTAGTAAGTTTCTTCAAAGTTGAAAAATAACTGAAGTGGACTATCCTAGAGCCTGTTCTTAACTCAATGACATGGGTAAAATGGATGAAAAAAAATGAAAGGAATTGGTCCTTTCATACATTTCTCTCACCCACAGAGCAGGAGTCATGAGAACATTGATACCGTGTCACGGCTATTGCATATGCTGATCTATCTGTGCCTGTGCCTTGGTAGTGGACATGTTTTAAATATGACTTATTCTCATAAAAAATGGGTTCAGGGAGGTCAGCAGATGCCACTGTGTATGCCAACCCTGCTTTGACTTGTGGTGACTAGAGTTCAGGGGGAAGAAGGATTGAAGATTCATTATGAACTCAGCAGGAAGAATGCTGTAATGGATTAGTTATGTCTTTCATGAGTATAGTTTAGAGAAATAGGGCATTTGTCCTATGTACTTGCAGCAGGGTACAGTTTAAAGGCAGTTGTGAAGTTTCTCCCATTGCAGAAGGAAACTTGCTGCCGGTCTCCACATCTTGCTTTCACTACACGTTGGAGAGAAATCTGATTACATAATACCTGTACTCAAATGATTCTTCATTTACTCATTTCTTTTTCCCTCAAAGCAAGCCAAAACAAATCTGTGATTAGAGGACTGTTTTCTAGTCAATACTTCTTGTCCCCTTATAAAATTAATTGTCCTGTTTTACCATAAGATGAGAACACGGCCATTCAGAAAGGGTACACTTTTAAGCGTACAAATGTTTTACATCATTTAAATGACAGCGTACTGTTCAGTGCATTAGACTGTGTAAAGGGAAGTTTCTGGTTATGAGTATTTCCTGGTCCATCTCAAGCCACTTTATGTTTTCCCTTGTTCTTTATATATACTGGGCTAGAGACTTGGGTACAGGTATCAGCAGGCTAGCTGAGGTTCAGTGTTTCAGGCAAGACATTCATCTTTCCAGTCCCCTGTGAAGGAGAGGGGGTGGGAACTGGAATGGTGGAGAATCCCTTCTGACCCATCACGTCATTACCCATTTGAAAAGCTCCTAGTGCTAAAAGCATAGGACATTTTGTTTGCATAGCGCTCCATAGTGAGGTGAGCCAGGGTCGAGAACCTAGTGTTGCAAGTTCTAGTCTCAGCTTGGATTTACCCAGTCTGTGACCATATCGGGCAAAATAATCTTTTAAAATTTAACTTATTTTTATGTGATGACATGAGCTGAGGAATCTGCCATACCTACCTGCTGAGCTGTTGGGGAATCCAGTGAAAATATCCTTGGGGCACCCTGAGAACTCATCAATGCTATAACATTGTGAGGTATTATGGTCCCGAGTACCTCACCTGCTACTGGCTTTCTTTCCAGGGAAGGTAGATAGAGTTGCCATGTCTTTGCCTGATTTTAACTTTTTTCGTAGGTGATTGATTCTGTTAGGACACCATCTGATTATGTTTCTATGTAGGATAAAGTGAACTATCCACTGTGTTTTTTACTGGGGCATAAACAATTTCAGTGAGAGATCTTCATTGGCTCTCTTTTGCTTTACAGCTTGGAATCCCATCCACTGCCAGCACATCGAATGCCACAATGCAATTAACAAGCCGGCTGTGAAGGTACTGCTTCCCAAGCTTGGTTCTTGGTGGTTCAGTTAGTAGAGTAAACTGCTGAGTGAACGGAGTAAGTTGCATGCATCTCCGTAGCTCTGTGGTTGATCTCAGGCTCTTCTGTGTTCAATGCAGAATTGTATTTGGGCAAGAGTAATGATGGTGTCTGTGAGTTGGGGCTGTGAATTCATAGCCAAGTGTGGTATGACATTGAGCTAATTATCAGAAGAATGCTGATGAACACATACCTTGTCTTAACTGGCTTCTATCTGAGCCAATACATTCAGAACCTGCCCCCCACCTCCGTTCCTTATATGTTATCACTTCAGAGGGTCTGCTATGTGACTATGCAAATTTGAGAATGGTAAAACAGAATAGACAAAGTTGTTAAGTCCTAGCTCAAATCATGGATGTGGATAGCTAACAGAGAGGTCTGCATAGCATGCGCACAATAGGTCACACTAGAGGTAAGGAAATTGTTTCATGGTGCCAATGTGCAGTTAGCATAAAATTAGAGACAGAACTGGGTACCCTAACTCTCAGCTTCATTCTTTTCTGTACATATTGTTCAATCCTATTGCAACTGAGTCTTAGAAGTTGGATATTCAGAAGAGTAATCACACGTCTTAACAAACAAAATTGCTCGGAGTCTATTTGTTGGATGCAGGATACACGGGTGGCTTGAGCAGGTTGGGATTTGCACGGGTGAGTGTGCACTGCGAGCAGTGGGTGCTGGCTGAAGTTAGGAGCATTTATGGGTCCTCTTGAGAAACTGGTGGTGTTGGAGTCTGTTTACCTTGTCTAGGCAGATTGTGTTGGTGCTTAAGTAATAGAAAACCAGCGCTGTCACTGATAGGGACAAAGAACAGGTAAAGTGAGACCCGGTAACTAACAACACGCTGTGTGATGATGGTAGCATTGCCATCTCCATGCATTATCTATCAGAGGATTTCCTTGTGTCGTTAAAGTGGATGCTTGCCTTTAATGACAGAAAGCCGAATGACTCCTAAGCAAGAGCAGATGACCGTGAGCCATGGACGGAAGCCCAGGCTTTGCATGCACTGCATATTCTCTGAGCTTAAGAAGGTGTGGGGCTCCAAGTCTTTCTTTGTATGAGGGTGTTCAAGCAAACACATAGTGGATCCCATGTGCTTCACGGAGCTGGTGGCGTTTCATAGCAGGGAGACCCACATGGCTCCCACTTTTATTTTTGTATCTTTACTTCCTTCTTCTTGCCTGCTACAGGTTTCTTCAGTTATTTTTTTCCTTACTTTTATGCCAGACTGCATTCTCTAGAGTCCTCTGGCATCCTGGTTAGTAAATGCTTTCTGGCCATCTAATCACAGAAAGGAGAAATTAGATTTTTCTCCTCTTCTAGGCAGACAGCCCAGCCCATTCATCTGGGTTGACCTTACTTTTATGCCAAAAAACCAGTCCTAGAGGCCAGGTGCAACCAGTCCGCCTTTGGTAGTTTTTCTTTATTGTAAGGAAATCCACATAGAAATTGTTCAAATGTAAAAGTAACCATTTGAAAGTAAACAGTTGGCATTCAGTACCTTCAGATGTTTGCAGCCACTACCTAGATCTGCCCAGAAGACATCCTCATTGCATACTTCTTCCTGCCAAGTCTTTTTTTTTGAGCACCAGTGTTTCATTTTCTAAAAAACTAACATTCCGGGCAATGCTTTCTGTGTGGGGCCATGTTTTGCACTATAGCAGGCCTGCCTCAGTGGGGTTTACTCTTCACAGCATGGCTGCACCTAAGGGCCCACCACCACCACAGAATACACAGATGCAGGGTCTCCAATGCCCGATGCTTGTTGGAAAGGAAAGCTGAGAGACTGTATAGTATGATACAGATTCAGTGTATTTAGATACAGGTTCACATTGGAGTTGAAAAACAGCCAGCAATACCCATAAAAATGTCATCACAGAATGAAGGAAGGTGAACTATTTGAAATTTTTCCTTTATCTGTCTTCCTGAGTCTGTACACTGGGCATAGATTATAAACGCTCTTTTATTTTTTAAGACAGGGTCTCATTAAATAGCCCTGCCTGGCTTAGAACTCACTATGTAGACCAGTCTGGCCTCAAACTTCAAGATAATCCATTTGCCTCTACTTCTTGAGTGCTGGGATTAAAAGTGTTGTGCCTGGCCTACAAACAATCATTTTTTGTTGTTTTTTGTTTGTTTGTTTGTTTTAATGCAACAACCAGACACAAACATATTAGTAGAACAGAACTGATCATGCATATTAATTAAGTAACGTAACAGGTCAAAAGTCAGGCAACCAGTCTCTAATGATGGTCATTCTAACATCCCAGGAATTTTTCCTTTTGAGTGGAATGGAAAACTTATCTTTGTCTGGCGGACATGTCAATGACTTATTGGGAAAGAGTGAAGTAACAGTGCTCAGGAGATCTACACGGGTTGCATGGGGATGCTTGGGGAAACACGAGTCCTCAGCAAAGCCTACTCTGCCATCGACTCTCTGCAGTCTGAGGCTTTAATGATTTGTCCCAGGGAACAGCACTTTTTAAGTAGGAGCCGACCGTTGCCATAGGGATAAGGCTGAAAACAAGTCAGAACTTAAAGTCTTATATCACATTCCACTTTTGGTTATTCCTGGTTCCATTTAAAGTTCACTTTATGAAATTGGCTGAAGCCCAGAGAATTATGTAAGACAGGGTCAGCAAACCATGTACCGCCACTAATGTGGCCACTGCTAATGTGGCTGCTGCTTGTTATTGTCAATAAAGCTTTATTGGGATGCAGCTTTGTTCATCTGCTTATGGAGTGCTTGTTTTTATGCAACACCTGAAGAGTTGAGTGGTTGTGACAGAGACTATTTGGCTCACAAAACCTACAATACTTACTCTTCAGCCATTTGTGGAAAAACTGCCACTCTCACAGACCAAACAGTTAATTCACTGTGTCTAAAGAATCAAGAAATTTACATAGGAAATATTTCACAGTAGATTGTTAGCATCAGCTAATATGCAATTTATGAGCTTTGTTGGCTTAGTTATTTAAATCTAGCAGTTTTGGTATTGATCCTGTCACTAGAACGTCTCAAGATTTTAGCTTTGAATTGTAGGTGGGGTTGTAAATGTAGGTCATTCTTCCCCTTTAAATCAGTGCAAAAAGCTAAAGACAGTGACATTCCAGAAGCGTTTGTGTACCAGTCATATTACCTGGGCACTCAGCTAAATCATAGGCATGTTATTCATGAGCACAGACACAGAATGCAGGATGGCTTTTGGAAATACTGGAAACTTTAATCGATGGAAAGTTTAAGCACAGTTAGTCACCTGACTGTTGACCTGATTGAAAACATCCAGACATCCTGACACTGTAACATGAACATTTGTGTCTCTGTGCTAGGCACAGACAACAAGGCCAGGTGTGTGTGTGTGTGTGTGTGTGTGTGTGCAGGGGGGTGGTGGTGTAAATGAGCTGCTGGTTGGGGGCGGGGAGAAAAGTGAAAATGCAACATTGAATGTGTGAGTCCAAGTTGAGTTTCAGGAGCCAGGAAAGGAACCCCTCAGTGCTAGATTTCCTGCAGACATCTCTATTGTCAGCATTTTGATGTCAGTTAATGATTTTGAAATCTTAACGATGGATTTTCCTTCTTCTAAAGAGAGATTGCTGGGCTTGTCACCCATATAACCCAGTTGAGCAGCCTGAGAACAAGGGGATTTTTCAGCTTTGTGGCAGGAGGGAAGATTTCTTGACAGTGTTTGATACTTGAATTGCAAATAGCCAGACAGAGGAACCCTGGCAGCCACATTTACATCCCCAGTGTGGGCTCCTCAGCAGAGCAGGTGGGGTTTACTAAAACAGTTTATTCTAGCTCGACACTAAAACTCTGTCATTGTCAGCCGGGCGGTGGTGGCGCACGCCTTTAATCCCAGCACTCGGGAGGCAGAGCCAGGCGGATCTCTGTGAGTTCGAGGCCAGCCTGGTCTCCAAAGCGAGTTCCAGGAAAGGCGCAAAGCTACACAGAGAAACCCTGTCTCGAAAAACCAAAAAAAAAAAAAAAAAAAAAAAAAAAAAAAAAAAAACTCTGTCATTGTCAACACACGGTATGCGTCTCGTAGGTTGGGGATGTGATATGCGGGAGCAGGAACGGTGACTCTGCATTGTCATTTGTTCCAGATGTGTATAGACCCTTCCTTGTCGGTAGCTCTGGGTGACAAGCCACCTCCACTGTATCTCTGCGAAGAATGCAGCGAGAGGATTGCAGGGTAGGTATGAGCCCCTCTACCAGACAGCAAGGGAAGTGGTCTGCACCACCGAGGAGGTTGGTCACTCAACTTCCCTGCCAGCCTTGCTGTGGTTTTGAGAGATTAGTTTGTCTGATGTTTATCGCAGTGAGCTGTTATTTGGGCTGTTTCAGCTTTGAAAAGTTGTCACGTCTGTCTTTAGAGAACACAGGAAGGCAATGCTATGTAGTGGAGCAGCTCTGATTTTGAAGCAGCCCCCCTTAAGAAGGTTGCAGAGAAAGAGCCATGCTGGAGGAAACTGGAGTTTCTAAAGCCTGCATGTCATCACTCTAGGGGCCTCTTTGTCCTTGTTAACTGTCCTTCAAGGTCTCACTTGGCTTTGTGCATATGGCCCATGTTTTGGCTGGTGTACCTAACATCTGGAAAGCATCATTGAAAGACAACTGAATATGAGGAAATGCCTGTAATTTATAGATTTACTGGAATGCATTAGATGCTTTAAAAGTTTATCATGATAGCGCTCTTAATTCCACTCCCCGTGAAAAGCTTTGAGCAGTAGTGTATAACACACAGATGTGCATGAACATTCCAGTGAAGCTCAGAAACCAATTTCATTTTTCTTCCTAGGGACCACAGCGAGTGGTTGATTGATGTTCTCCTGCCACAAGGTAAGGTGTTCTTGGGAAAGGATGAATAATGAGTAATCATGACTAATGACATGGTTGATTTATCTCCTTTTGTGCTATTTTATAAAGACAGCAACCAAAGCCTCATATTTTAGGAATATTCACTGACCTGCAGCATTATATCAATGTCTTGCTTATAATATTGTCTAAACACTTAATGACAAGGGAAGGAGCTATCAATTCTACCAAAAATTAAGGTTGGATATTACAATCAGCATTATATATGACTTAAGCCCTGCTGAGTTGTATCTTGAGGAATATTCTGTGTGTTGAACAGATGCTACCAATGACGTGTTTCTGTGCTGGATCAGAAAGGGAACCATGGTCCCTTTTTCCTGCTACTGTTACTGGCTCTGTATTTTGGGGGGCAGTGCCCTTTAATTGCTCTGAGAGCTTGTCTCCCAATCAATAAGATAGGGATAAAGCATATCTAGTGTACTGTGATAAAAAGATAAGATGTGTGATGCTCCTTGGAGTCCATTAGAGTCTGCTAGGAGTTGATAGTTCTCCGTACACAGAGAGGTGGCTATTCCAGCTTCCTTATCAGGGCTGTATCGAAAAGCAAAAGTGCTCAGGAAAGCTGAGGACAGACTTGGGTAGGAAAGCTGCAGGCATACTGACTCCCCCCCCCCTCCCCCATCACACACACACAGCACAGACTGTGACCACAGACACAGATAGTGAAGGGACAAGCAGGAGAGGCCATGGGAAGCCTGATGCTGACGAGGGCCGTGAACTCCTCTTTTTGTTTAGATTACACTACTTCTTTGAAATCCAACTTTTTAATATTAGATTATCTCAACTTTAAGAGAGGAATCAATTTAATGAGTGCTATCCCTAACACAGAGCAATGCTGTCAGTCTCCATTTCCTTCCAGGGAAATTTTGAAAATTTGCTTTATCTATAGGAAGATATGGGCTTGTAATGTGGACAGAGGCATACATCAGGCTACTTTTCTAGTGAGCCTCTGGCTCTCTGATGTTGGAGAGTCACATTCAGAAATACATTACTGTATTTTGTTGGTTTCTTTTTAGACAAGGTCTTACTAATGTCACTCAGACTGGCACTGAACCCTAAATTTTCCTGTCTCTATCTCCTGAGTACTGAACACGCATGCCCCACCCTGGCCGGCTTGTTTTTCTTTCATTTTGTTTTCATAACCAACAGGCTCTTGCTATATTGCCTAGGTAGGACTTCAACTCCTAGACTCAAGCAGCCTCTTGCCTCCTGAGTAGCTGGCTCCATAGGAGCATGCGTCAATGTTCAGTTTCTAAGATACAAGCACCTGTTAAATATCAGACTTGTTCCTGAACTCTGGCCTTCATTTTTAGATGATGTTCATCTGTGGAAGAATTGATAGAGCTTTTGGTTCACGTCAAATTATTTAACACATATAGTAGGTTATCAAAAGGTTATATAAAATGAGTTTTAAACACCAAGTTATACATTTTACTGATTTTTGTATCAATTCCTAATTTATAGGCAGGGTCTGGGAAACACCTTCCTTTAATCTTTTGAATTAGTGTAACACAGACTATTCTATAAATAAAGCGTCAGTCCATTTCTTGGGGCCTTACTATTTTAAGGAAAATAGTGATAGATTCTCGGAAAAATTATTTTCAACTACTCTCAAGATACCAGTTTCCATGGAAACACTTGGTATGGCAACTGAAAAGAATTCTTATGCACATATTAAAGCCGGTCTCATTAGCAGACAGCAGTTTGACTGCCTTGCTCCAATAGATCTCCTCATGTTTGATAAGGGATTTTTCATAAGTAATCACGAGGCTGTTTTGCACTAGTTAATACTGATAGCTCAAGTCAGAGTAGACCAAGACAAGTGTTTCCTATAGTCTTGACATTTCAGACCATCTCATAATGCTGTAAGCACAGCCCATCCCTCCACAGCAGTGTCATGGAAAGAGCAGAAACAGGAAGCCCAGAGAACTTAGCTGCTCTCATGGCTTCATCAGTGATGGCTTCAGTGATCCCCAGTAAGTCTTCTGAGTGTTACTGTCCAATGAGATCAAAGTTGTATGACTTTAACTTGACTGATTTCCTTAACGTATTTGACAAGGTTAAATTAGATGTGAGAATAGGAGACATAGTTACAGCACACAATAAAAACTTCAAACTGTTAGCAAGAAAGAGATACTTTGTGCTTTTGGGGGAAAATAGAGGCCAATAAATATAGATGACAATTTATGAGGCAAATCCAAATCTTTTTGATGAAGTCTATTGGTTTGCATTACTAAGACTGTATTTTTTTTTTTTTTACTCTTCATGGTTGCCCTTATTTAAAATGGGCTCTTTCTTTGTTGATATTTTGTGTACCTTCCCCTTACAGCTGAAATATCTGCTATATGTCAGAAAAAGGTAAGCGCACACCTTCTGTGTGATGGGGCATGATTCCCTGTGTTCGTGTGTAACCTCATCTGTTGACATCTGCCTCATTTCTGCACCATGGGTTCCCACTGTGCACATGTCAGTGTATTTGTGAAGGAGGAGAGGGAGTGCTGTACGCATGTAAGATTGTGACGTCCACATGGTCTCCATGTCCATAGCTGCTTTTGCTCACCGTCATATGCTCAGTGTCTTTGTTCAGCACTCTGAAATGGAAGCACACGTGCAGTTCTGGGGGAGAGTCTAATCACAAAAACTGCAGATGATAGTGCAATTCATGTGATTTCATTTTAAAAGGGTGTTTCTTATGTGCTAAAAATCTTTGTTGTTTTGAAACTTGATGCATATAGTTTAATATATGTCAAAAATATGCCCAGATCAAATACATGTAGAAAATATTCATTTAGGTGTAAGTTGAAGGACATGTTTAGCTAAATATTCCTCTGCTAAAACTTCCCTTTGCCATTTTACATCGTTTCTTTAGGTCATTCCATTCCATTTTTCTTTTATTTTTTGGTAGTTGAAAAGGTAACAGGAAGCAGCCCGGTAGTATGACAAAAGCTTTGACTTGTTGGTCAAGGAACCTGGATTCTGGTTCACTCTACTCTCTCCTGCTTATTTGAATTTTGTACCATTCATTTAAACTTTTTGGGAGGTTGATCTTGAATGTGTACCTTTGAAGGCTGTCTTGCTTATTTATTGCTATGTAACAAACCATCCTGAAATGTAGCGGTTACCAGCACCAATCAGTTATTGCAATCAATTGATTGCAATTTTGTGAATTGGCAATTTGGCTAACGAACTCCTCTAGGCTCCTTTATGCACTTGCATTAGGTTGTTGTTGGTATGTGGTGGGGGTGGGGTGGAGTAGAGGAGTCACAGAGTGTGAAATGCAGGGAATGACGATTGGCTGATAACCGATGGTTCATCATCACATATTATATGTGGGACCTTAGCAGGGTTGGCTGAATGGTTGAGACGACAGAGGTATCAGGGCCTCCCTCTTTCCCTGAGAAGTCTCACCCTCCAGGAGGCTAGGCTGGCCCTGTGAACAGACAGCAATGTTCTGGAAGAGCCAGAAAGGAGGTTGCAAGGCCCCTTTTGACAGAAGCTCAGAAGTCATAAACCATCAGTTCTGCTGCATGTCACTGGGTAAAGCAACTCGAAGGTCAGCACAGAATACAGAAGTCTGTGCAACAGATTAACACAGTGTCTTAGTTAGGGTTACTATTGCTATGATGAAACACTATGAACAAAAGCAAATTGGGGAGGAAAGGGTGGCTTACGTTTCTAGATCGCTGCTCACCGTTGAAGCAAGTCAGCTCAGGAACTCAAACAGGGCGGGAACCTGGAGGCAGGAGCTGATGCAGAGGCCATGGTGGCATGCTGCTTACTGGCTTGCTCCTCATGGCTTGTTCAGCCTGCTTTCTTATAGAACCCAGGACCACCAGCAGGGATGGCATCACCCACAATGGACTGGGCCCTCCCCATCAATCACTAATTAAGAAAATGCCCTACAGGCTTGTCTACAGCCCGATCTTATGGAGGCATGTTCTCAGTTGAGGTTCCCTCCTTTCAGATGACTTTAGCTGTGTCAAGCTGACATAAAATTAACCAGGACAATTGACTCTTGCCAACTTGACACACAAATATATCACTATTAAGACATAACCTCTCCTTTCCTGTTCATCCCCAAGATCACAAATTAACATCAACATCACAACATCAAACATTTTATAAACTTAAAATACCCCACAGTCTTTAAAAATTAAAACACTTTAAAATTCAGTCTTTTTTAAAACCTCAAATCTCCTTAAAAATTCAGTCTCTCAGCTGTGGGCTCCAGAAAAATAAAAAATAAGTTAAATACTTTCTTATTTCAAGAGGGAAGATCCAGGGCACAGTCATAACCAGATTAAAGTCAAACCAAAATCCCATCAGTGTAAATAAGGCAATGTCCACTATCTGGGATTCACTCACAATCTTCTGGCCCCTCCAAAGGGCTTGGGTCACTTCTCCGGCTCTGCCCTCTGCAGCACACACAGCTTGTCTTCTAGGCTCCGGCTGGCTCCACTCCACAGCTGCTTGTGTCCTTGGTGGTCTTCCCACGGTTCTGGCATCTTCAAAAATTGGGGTCTTCTGCGGCAACTGGGCTGCACTTTTACCAATAGCCTCTCATAGGCCCCCTTCATGGTGCCAAGCCTCAACTTCTGTGCAAGACCCTTTCAGTCCTGGGCCACCAAGGCTGTATCTACCAATGGCCTCTCCTGTCCTCTCACAGTGCCAAGCTTCAGCTGCTCTCCATGAACTCATTCATGCCATCAAAACCAGTACTATCTAGGTGACTCTTACACTACCAAGTTTGACTGCCAGCACTCAGTACAACCTTGGTGGCCTCTGGAACACAGCTTCTTGTGTGTCGACTCTCTAGAAACACTTCCCAGAAGATTCCACCTCAATGGAGCTGGTCTCTTCTTAATCACTGCTAATTTCTCTGCTCCAGCGGACCAGCATCGAGTATCCCAGCAAAGCAGAGGTTTCACTTTAGTAGTTCTGTATCCTGTAAATGACAGCTGATTCTTCAGTCCCAGCTAACCAGAACCACAGAATCTTAATTCACAATAACAAATGACCCCAATAGAGTCTTTAAACTTCCCCTAAAACTCCACAAGCTAGGCCTCCATATCCCACAATCCTGGTACCAACTTGTCTCGGTTAGGGTTACTGTTGCTATGATGAAATACCATGAGCAAAAGCAAGTTGGAGAAGAAAGGGTGGCTTACATTTGCAGATTGCTATTGCCATTGAAGGAGGTCAGGACAGGAACTCAAACAGGGCAGGAACCTGGAGGCAGGAGCTGATGCAGAGGCCATGGAGGGGTGCTGTTTACCGGCTTGTTCCACATGGCTTGCTCAGCCTGCATTCTTATAGAATCCAGGACCACCAGCCCAGGGATGATACCACCCACACTGGGCTCTCCCACTAATTAAGAAAATGCCTTATAGCCTGATCTTATGGAGGCATTCTCTCAACTGAGGTTCCCTCCTTCTACATGACTCTAGCTTATGTCCAGTTGATATAAAATTGGCCAGGATAAGCAGATTTAGCAGTTCCCTCTTTGCCCTCAGAATCCTGCAAGCCTGAAAGCATCTTCATCTCAGGCTGTTCCTGTTCTTCTCAGTCCACCCTGACAGAATCCACGAGAAACGCCGTGTGCTTTTAGGTGTCCGTTATAAACCTCTTTCATTAAACACAAGTTAAAAGTACATCTCTGTGAGATAAACCCTGCTATACCTTGAACTCTCCTCAGAGCTTCTGGGAATAATGCCTTGCAGTCTCAGCACTTTATTATTTAGTGGTGAGGATAGTGAAGCATGCCCTTAAAATCTCCAGGTCTTTGTTTGCCTAAAAGAGACTATGATGTAATACACCACATTCTGAGTCTTTTTTCTTTTCTTTTCTTTTTGGTTTTTGAGACATGGTTTCTCTGTGTAGCCCTGACTGTCCTGGAACTCACTCTGTAGACCAGGCTGGCCTCAGAGATCTGTCTGCCTTTGCCTCCCAAGTGCTGGGATTGAAGGCATGTGCCACCACCGTCCTGCTCATTCTGAGTCCTAACAAATGGCTTTATATCTAACCCTGTAATCATTGTTCCCCTGAGAGCACATTTTCCTGATGCAGCCCTGGATCTGGTGTTTACCCAGGAATCTTTTCTTACCTTGAGAATCTTAAACCACTGACTAGGAAGAGTGTCCTGGGTGCAATATTTTCTCTTTAAACTCTAGTTGTAACTAGAATGATTCGTTCTTCTATTCAGATTCTCTCCTCTCTCTCTCTCTCTCTCTCTCTCTCTCTCTCTCTCTCTCTCTCTCTCTCTCTCTCTCTCTCTCTCTCTCTCTCTGTGTGTGTGTGCACGCTTATTTGTGCATGTGCATGCGGAGGCCACAGGTGGACATGAGTTGTCTTCCTCCATCACTCCATACCTTGCGTTTTGAGATAGATTTTCAGTGAATCTGGAGTCTGTGGTTTCAGCTGGACTGGCTGGCCAGCAAGATTCCAATGTCCACTTGTCTCCCTTCTGTCCCCAGATCTCGGTCTTAGCTATGGAAACCATTGCACCCAGCTTTTACATAGCTTCTGGGCATCGGATTCTTGGAAAGCAAGCGCTTGACCCACCCGAGCTATCACACCAGCCACGCAGTGTGGACCGTCTATCACACCAGCCACTCCAGTGTGGACTGTCCATCACACCAGCCACTCAGTGTGGACCGTCCATCACACCAGCCACTCAGTGTGGACCGTCTATCACACCAGCCACTCAGTGTGGACTGTCTATCACACCAGCCACTCAGTGTGGACTGTCCATCACACCAGCCACTCAGTGTGGACTGTCCATCACACCAGCCACTCAGTGTGGACTGTCTATCACACCAGCCACTCAGTGTGGACTGTCCATCACACCAGCCACTCAGTGTGGACCGTCTATTACACCAGCCACTCCAGTGTGGACCGTCCATCACACCAGCCACTCAGTGTGGACTGTCCATCACACCAGCCACTCAGTGTGGACTGTCTATCACACCAGCCACTCAGTGTGGACTGTCTATCACACCAGCCACTCAGTGTGGACTGTCCATCACACCAGCCACTCAGTGTGGACTGTCCATCACACCAGCCACTCAGTGTGGACTGTCTATCACACCAGCCACTCAGTGTGGACTGTCCATCACACCAGCCACTCAGTGTGGACTGTCCATCACACCAGCCACTCAGTGTGGACTGTCTATCACACCAGCCACTCAGTGTGGACTGTCCATCACACCAGCCACTCCAGTGTGGACCGTCTATCACACCAGCCACTCCAGTGTGGACCGTCTATCACACCAGCCACTCAGTGTGGACTGTCTATCACACCAGCCACTCAGTGTGGACTGTCTATCACACCAGCCACTCAGTGTGGACTGTCCATCACA